TGGCATCTTCTGTATTCATCCCAGTGAATTGGCATCTCTCTGTTTTCTAGTCTCATGTTCATTAAAGACTCTAACAATATCTAGAATGAGGCGAGAATTCACATTATATTTGTCAAGTAAATAAATGAAGTGAAAAGTTGAGGCAGAGAATAGCTTTTGCCCATCTCCCAGCCCCTTGTTCTTGCTGCTAAAATTCCTTATCTGCACTTCTCTTTTTCAATGATGTTTATCATTTCCTGTCATTGATTTTAGTATCTTTATGCAAGTTTTATCATCCCTCCCACACTGCAGGTTCCTTCAGGCCGTTATCTAGATTTCCGTGAACTCTGTTTCTCCCCAAACATACATATATAGTATATGCACACTTGTTGTCTTATTTATTTGAATGAGAAATTCTTGTTGTATTTTATTACTTTGCTCAGAATATGAGCTCAATACAGATTTTTTATATTAAATTGGATTTAACCCTTTGACATAGAAATGTCTCAATAGCTAAAAAGTTCTAAAAATGAACTGGATTATAAAGTCCATGAGGTGAGGGATGGTTTGCTTATCTTGTTTTCATATTGTTCCTAGCAGAATGATGGATGAGTGACAGGTATTAAATACATATTTATTGATGAAACTATGAACATCCTTTATCCTACCCTTTGGAAGAAATCAAACCCAGGTAGCCAAGAGTAATACTAGTACCATTTTTTTGATGAAGATCCCCAGAACACAGCATTTTTTTCTTCCAATACAATTAACCAACCAAAAGTCAGGAGGGACAGTTGTCATAAACCCCTGCCCTTGCTCGATGGACAAAATGCCTTCTGATTTGGGTTAGAGTTAGATTTATGTATTTTTAATCCTAAAGCTCTGGCATGGCGTATGGGTTTCCAGAATCACTAGCTCAGACTGACAGACATGCTATCTTTCCCACTTAAACACTTCCCTTACTAGCTGGGGTCTGGTGCCCTTAAACACAAATGCACTCCCACAGGGGAGAGTGGCCGTAATTCAGCTGCGATGATGAAGTGGGCAGTAATCTGTCAGATCAATTATGTACGAGGCCCATCTTCTCTAGGGTTCCCTTGATTCTTTTTTTCTTCCTGACAGTTCACCTTGTGCCCAACCTTCTGTCTCTCAGAGTCAGACCTGCAGATGATTGCCTGCCACCTTCAGATGAATTTCCCCTGATTTCTAGAAGAGGTACTTACTGGTAAACCTATTGGTGGTAGACAGACCTCACACTCCTAAATTGCTTTTATTTATACTTTTATTTTAAAATATATTTTATTGATTTTTTTACAAAGAGGAAGGGAGAGGGATAGAGAGTTAGAAACATCGATGAGAGAGAAACATCAATCAGCTGCCTCCTGCACACCCCCTACTGGGGATTGAGCCTGCAACCAAGGTACATGCCCTTGACCAGAATCGAACCTGGGACCCTTCAGTCCGAAGGCCAACGCCCTATCCACTGAGCCAAACCAGTTAGGGCTATACTTTTATTTTAAATATCTTTTTATTGATTTCAGAGAGGAAGGGAGAGGGAGAGATAGAAGCATCAATGATGAGAGAATCATTGGGCTGCCTCCTGCATGCCCCACACTGGGGATCGAGCCCGCAACCCGGGCATGTGCCCTGATCGGGAATCGAACCATGACCTCCTGGTTCAAAGGTTGACACTCAACCACCAACCCATGCTGGCTGGGCATCCTAAGTTGCTCTTAAAGATATTAGATGGTACCCCCTGAAGACCTCAAGTTTCCTCTAGTTATTCCTATTTTCTGTTTCTTCTGGAGTAACTCTCACTTGGACCACAGTAAGCAGGACCTACCATCTAAGGGGCTGTTTCAGGAAACAGGGAGGTCTCCGTCCTGGTTTTCCTCTGCATCTGGGCCACTGTGAGCAGCGGTCAGGGGAGCTTCTGGGCGGCCTGATGAGCATTGTTTCTTGTGACACTTCATAAAACCCTCTCAGGGTGAGCAGAGGAGATGGCGACATCACATTCCGTTATTTCAGTTGAATTTTCAGTCTGACGTGGCAGAAGCCAGTCCAAATTTAATGAGAGTGGCTGGCAGGAAGCACCTCCAGGCGGTCAAAAGGTAGCTGCTTTCGCCTCTTTACAAAAGTTGGATCACAATGTATCCAGGATGTGACTACTTCTTTACATCTCCTCCCTGCGCCACATCTGTGACAACATTATTGGGGCTGGACTCCTGCAATACCCTACCACTCATCTATTTCCCTGCATTTTCTTGCGCCCCCTCCAAACAGCAGCCAAAATTATGTTTTTAAAACGCAAATCATTTAAAAGGCTTAAAACACTTCCATGTCTTCCTCTCTTACACAGAATAAAATCTAATTCTGTATGATGGCCTGCCAGGCCCCGGGAGACTGGCTCCCCCTCCTTGCAGACCGCATGTCCCCTCCCTCTCCCTCAGTTCATCCTGATCCCAGGGGCCTTCTCCTCTTCTGAGGATGCACCAAGTTCCTTTCTGTCTTTCGGACTCTGCTTCACCTAGAACAGTGGTCGGCAAACTCATTAGTCAAAAGAGCCAAATATCAACAGTACAACAATTGAAATTTCTTTTGAGAGCCAAATTTTTAATACTTAAACTATATAGGTAGGTACATTGTTATTAACTTAATTAGGGTACTCCTAAGGCTTAGGAAGAGCCACACTCAAGGGGCCAAAGAGCCGCATGTGGCTCGCAAGCCGCACTTTGTTGACCACGGACCTAGAATGCTTTTGAACTAGACCTTTGCGTGCTTAGAACCTTCTTGTCATTGAGGCCGCAGGTTACGAACAACTTTCCTAGGTGACCCCTACCTGATCACCCCATTATAAAGCAGACCCATCTACTGTGCCCTGTTTTACTTTCTTTATTGTACTCAACTCTGTCAGGTCTTTCCTCACTTATTTGTTCCTCATGTATAGTAAGCTGCCCCCCAAATAATATTATTCCCAGGATCATCACTGTATCCCTTGGGCTTAGAAAAATGCTTGAGGTGAAGTAGGAGCTCAATAAATATTTGTTGAATATTTGAATGCATGGTGCATTCCTTGAGTCCTGTCTACTTAGCTTGCACAGCTATACCTTTCATTTATCCTTTCTTCAAGAAACATCTATTTTGCAGTTGATTCAAGCGTGGGATCTTGACTCTGACCACATTGTGTTCAAGGTCTCACTTTGCCACATGCTAACTGAGTAACTTCTCAGGCCTTGTTAACTCGTCTCTGTAATGGGGAGAATAACAGTAGGGCAACCTCCTAAGCTGGTTATGAAGACACAACGGCATAATATTTTCTTGGTATCTGACATATAGTAGTTGCTCAATAAAAATAAAAATTTGGTCAGTTTTTGTAGGTTAGGGTGGATTTAACTCAAAACCTTGAGAGGAAAGATAGATGCCTGCCAAGTCCTATTCCAAGAGAAAATTTTCAAGTACAGGCTTTGGTGCCAGAGACACCGGGACCCATCATTTAGGAGTCATTTCATCAGTTTTACTTTTCTTCCCTGTAATGTGGAAGAATTACACATCTCTAGTAGGGTTGGGGTGAGAATTAGAGATAATGCCTAAAAAACGCCAAGCTGGAGCCTGGCTCTGCTCTCAGGAGGTGGCAGCCACATTGCCTGTGCCTGAGCGTCCCAGGTGGCGGGGTTTGCTGTGTAGAGAGGAAGAGGAGGAGGGAAACAGACAGCCTAGCAATCTGTGGAAATCTTTTCCTAACACTTCTGATATGCAGCAGCCCAGGTGCTCTCATTGGACTTCCTCTTACTCACCTTCCTGTCTGGTTGGCAGTCACTGGGCTGGAGGCCACGCCACGGCCCCTCCCTGGTGGGCCAGCAGGTGTTATTTCCTCTCAGTCCCCTCTAATGAAAAGCACTCGCATCCAGTAAATCTTTCCTTTGCTCTTATTAAAGCACTTGATGCTGGTAATTGAGGTCTATTCCAAGCGAGGTGGGAATCAATAAGGTGTTCCACTTAACCACTTCAGCAGTCAAAGAGCTCTTTTCTTAGTCTTCACTCTGGCCAGTGCCCACAGAACTCAAAGGCTTAGCAGGCCCTGGTCACTTACGGAGCAGCACAGAGAAGTCCCCCTGCATTTCCTCTCTCCCAGAGGACCCCAGAGAACCCCAAGTCCTCTGAGCCAGCCCTGCTCTCTGGTTGTCTGTGTTTGGCTGTGTTTGACCAACCCTGTGCTTCTGGAAAGTACCCCTTGGCCTTAAGGGCTGTGGACAGCCAACACCTGATTATCGATGGTCTCGCTTTGGCCACTGTGTCTTTGTCCGCTCTGTGGAGCTGCTTAGAATGAGGGTCCCCTTGTCCCTAAAGAGCAAAAAACCATCCTCCCACTTCATGATTCAAATTCTACCGTTGTATTCAACTCCCTGAGGAAGACTCAATCATTTGCTCCTCATAATGTTTTGAATGTAGGTCTGGTCTAGAGTGTGCTGAACCAAATGTGGGGTTTGCCCTGTGTTCTGGTCAGTCTGGGATCTCATTAAGGGAACCTGTGTCTTAGTCATCTCTGCATCATCAGCACCCACTCCAGTGCCTGGCACAAAGTAAGAGCTCAGTTGTGTTTACTGGAAGGAAGAAAGGAAGAGAGGAAGGAAGAAAGAAGAAAATAATTACATAGTTCTGGAAATTAGCATAGGTTCAAGTCCTGGCCTTGCCAATAATCACTGAGTGACCTTAGGCAAGAGACATAATCTATTTCAGCCCCAATTTCCTTATCTGTCAGTGAAGCTGATAATCTCTCAAATTCCTTCCAGCTGAAACATTCTGTAATCTCATGCCTCTAAGCCTGTGGTTCTCAATTCTTTCATACCCTAAGCCACTTTATATAACAAATATTTTGAAATCGCCTTTTGCCAACAGGAAATAAAATGCTCTCTCAGTATAACCTACCTCTAACCAATTAGAAAGAAATAATGTTCCAACTGTAACATAAAAGGAAAATGACTTATGATAAAGTAATACGTGTTCCTTACATAAATGCACAGCTAGGACTCTACGAGAAGATGTCACAAAGGAGTCAGGAGCCATGAGCATCACCTTGAATGACACGCTGCTGTCATTAATGTAACCGTAATGATAACGTTCTGAACTAGCACCACACAGTCTTCCCAAGAATCAACAGAGTACTCACATTCTGGAAAATTCAGGATATGTCCAACAAAGGTGGGTTTCACTCTCAGATAAATATAAATAGGCTTTTCACCAATGCGAATATCCTGTGGGACATTCAAATGTTCTCTGGGTGGCAGGAGGATTCTTTACAATGCGGGGCTGTCTCTACCTCTCACAGGGCCTCCAATCATTGTGCCAAGAAGTTCCCGCCCACCAATATCTGAAATGCTGTGAACAGGATGGTACCATTCCCAGCAGGAACCAAACTCTAGGTTTTCCAAGTTCATGCGCAGGGCTGGCTTCATGGGCCTGTGATCTGTGGAGTTGCCCAGGGGCCTCCAGTTCTCAGAAGGGCTCTGGGTTTGGTTTAATGATCTCTTGTTGCTGTCTTAAAATTCTTAATGATTTTTGAACAAGGGGACTTGCATTTTTTTTTTTCAACAGGCCTTGATAATTCTGTATCTAGTCTGGCTTAGGTATCCTGATAGGATTTCTGCTTTCCTGACTATCTGTCTGAATGGTGTTTACTGTTCAAATGATTGTCTTGCTTTGCCTATCAGTGCTTTCTTTGAATTAGATTATCCCTAATTATTGTTTGATTGATGATCAACTTGTTCATTCATTAAACCAATACGCATTGAGCTTCTATTTCATACCGAGTAGTCTCTGGAGTCAGAAGACCTGAATTCTAATTCTGAAAGAGCTCAGAGATCCTTGGGTTCTCTTTCGTTAACATGATGTTATTAATAATCACTATCCTTATTGTACAAAGAACTGTGAACATGAAAAGACCCAGCACATTTGGAAGTAAACAGTGCACTGTGATTCACATGTCAGTTTCTGCTCTCCATGTCTGAGGTGAGGTTTCCTCCTTTTCTTCACTTAGATGTCAGGGAACAGGACACCCTTGACAAGGCACCGAATATTAGCTTCCCTATGAAAATCAAGAAATGAGGCGAGTAATTGGATTCGGCAAAATCTATCAATTTGGGTTTCATTAGTTTGGAATTTATGATAATTCATAAAACAATTTTACCAAATTAAACAAAATATGTTAAATTCAGTTAATCACAGAATTATGGAAGTTTTGAGCTAAAATGGACTTCAAAAATTATCCAGTGTTCAAATCTGCCATAACCCCTTATTGAGTATTCATAGAGCCAGCTTTGGAAAACTCTCAGTGATGTGTGCTGCGGAAGCCTGAACTTCCTACGCTAAGAAGCTAAGAATGTTTTAAAAAGCAATTTAGCAGCCTTCGTATGCTAATTACAAATTATTCTTATCTACTCATTAAAGCAGGGCAGGGCAGCATGCCTTCTACTTGGCAACACTTACTTAATCTTGTATTTTATAGTAACAAAACTGCTCTGAAAGACATCATTTATAATTCACACTTTTCACTAATTCAGCTCAGCCTTGAGTAATTAATTTTTTATTAGTAAGGTATTACCATATTAAGAAGAAATAAAAATTATAAGAACTAACTTTAAAAAGTATTATGCTTAAATCCACCGGGATATAGTTAATTGGTCCAGAGGTTATTATGCAGCAACAGTTTGTGCTTCCGAGGAAGATAAAAGCTGGTCTTGCTTTACTTGGTTGGAGCTAGAGGTTGAGTCACAGTAAGGTCCAGGCATGGTGTCATCTCAAGGGTGATCCTAACACTGTTATCTATGGGAGGAGAAAGTGACATTGCATTTGGAGACTGGAGTTCTTCACTTCGTGGTATCTTTATGAAATTAGAATTGACAAGAGCCAAATCTTTTTTTTTTAATTGATTTTTTTTTTTAAAGAGAGAAAGGGAGAAGGAGAGAGAGAAAAACATCAATGTGAGAGGGAAAACATTGATAGGCTGCCTCCTGCAAGTGCCCTACTGGGGAACCTGGGCACGTGCCCTGCTGGGAATCGAACCGGCAACCTTTTGGTGCACAGGATGACGTCTAACCAACTGAGGCACACCGGTGAGGACAAGAGCCAAATTCTTGTATGGATTACTAGCTTTACAGCTGAGAGTTTGAAAATTAATACTTTTTAATAAGATTAAGGAAATGGCAGGTTTTGGTCAGGTAGATTTTATATGTAAACCTATTTGTATGTGCATGGATGTATGTGTGTGTATGTGTGTGTGTGGTATGAGTATGAAGAGGTCAAACAGTCATGCTCTTGGATAATACTAGGCGGGGTGGGCTGTTTTATAGTGTTGGAAGGACTCAAGCACCTTGCAAGCAATATGTCACTGTTAGTACCCAAGGGGGTGTGAACCCCTCCTCCTGCTGCTGAAGCTCACAGAATGTCGAAATTATGCCGCTGCCTAAACAAGGAAGGGCAGATGGTACAGGTTAGAGAGACAGGGAGCTGCAGCAAAATACCGAAGGCATTTTCCAAGTGTGTTGGAGGGAATCAGTTTTCCCTAGAAATAAATTATTTACCAGGTAGGACCTAGTATTTAAAGGCTGAACTCCTAAGAAAGTGTGCAGGCAAGGAAGAAGGTGTACTAGCAAGGCGTTTGAAGCTTCCTGTGTGAAGAGGCTGCGATGAGAGCAGTGGGCCCAGGAAGGCAGACTGTTCTGTAGTCTCATTAGTGTGCTGTTCTTCCAGGCCTAGTCTGCCAAACACAGGCACTGGGCTCACTGTCAAGCTTGTTTAAAAAATGCTCCTTCCTTGGCCCACTTCCGGTTTGCTGGATCAGGTATATGCATTTATGTTGTTGTTAATCTTCACTTGAGGGTATTTTTTACATTAATTTTTTTTAAGAGAGAGTGGGAGGGATGGGAGAGAGAAAGAGAGAGTGTGAGAGAGAGAGAGATACATCAGCATGAGGCATATCGATTGGTTGCCTCCTGTACTTGCTCTTACCGGGGCCAGGATCAAACCTGAAACACAGGTAGGTCCCCTTGACTGGGAATCAGAACAGTGGCCCTTCAGTGCTTAGGCCAACACTCCAACCACTGGGAAACACCAGCCAGAGCAGGAATATGTATTTTTTAAATAGATTTTTATTGATTTCAGAGAGGAAGGGAGAGAGAGAGAGAAATAGAAACATCAATGATGAGAGAGAATCATTGATCAACTGCCTCCTGAACACCTCCTACTGGGGATAGAGCCTGCAACCCGGGTATGTGCCCTTGACTGGGAATTGTACTGTGACCTCCTGATTCACCGGTTGATGCTCAACCACTGAGCAACACTGGCTGGGCAGGAATATATATTTTTATTTTTAATAAGCATTCTGGGTGATTTTTAGTCACACTGAAGACCGAGAACCAGTTCTTTCAGGAGAACTGAATAAGTATTGGTTGATTGTCTCCCCTCTGGAATATGTGTCCCATGAGATCAAAGGACCATGTGCTGTTCTCAATGTATTTATGGCATCTTGTTTAGTCCATTGACCATAATAGCCACTCAACAAATAGTTTAAAATAAATGAATGAATGAATGAATGAATAAAAGGCATTTTAAACTGATATCATAGCCCACTATATCTATTTTCTAGCTCTTTGCATTTTGCTAGTAGAGCCAACAGATTTTAGTTTTATGTCAAAATGGGATTAGACATTGTCAATAAAATCCATTTAATGTCTTTATAAAACTTTTGCCTTTAGAAACTTCAAAGCATTGTTCTATATAGGTATCTCGAGTAGGTGGATTCTTCCTGAATTACAAATTACAGTAAAGATTTTGGCACTCAGGGTGGGGAACATCAGGTGTGCATAGCGCCCCTTATAGAATTCGTTCTTAATTAAATTTGTTTCTGCCTCTGCTCTATATTCACACCCAGTGAGAGAGGCATTGCAAGGAAACATGTATGAACTTACAGTTAAAACCCGGAGGAAGGAGTTCAAAGACAGAGCACATCATATTGTGGTGGTTTGAACATCTTTCAACTCCCTCCCTGTTACGTAACTTAAGGATACAGTGGAGCTGCAACCTTACCCCGGGCCCTTCTTCCCCAGACAGAGGCTGTTTCATAAACTGCGCCCAGGCCCTTCTTCTCAAGTTCTTCATACACTTTTCACCAGAAAAAAGAAATCATTCATATCTAACAAAGGGTCTTGGATTCTTTAGATAGTTTCCATTATAAGTTTTTGGCACTACTTATTACCCTCCGCTCAAGTTACCTTTCTGATCCCTCTTCTTTCATCTGCTGAAAATGGATTATTTCCTTATTAGCTTGAAACCGTTACTGTTCACTGGGAGGGCCCACGTAGGAACAATGCTACCTCTGGACTATTGCTGAGGACCATGGCTGCTCAGAAACTTTCCCTGGACACACGCTTTCCTGAGAGTGGGAGGGCAGTGTGTTTTCTGGAAAGGGTTATTGTCACCAGAGAACTTTCCAGACTTCTGTCTTAAGAAAGCTGAGCCCTGCCAGTACCTGTTGGGAAACCCCATGGGCCTGCTCCCTCGGGGGTGCCTGGGCCTGAGAGACGTGAGGAGCAGACCCAGGGGATGGGTCTTCAAGTCCTTTACACGCTGCTCCAATTAGAATCTTTCTGCTTTGAACTATTTCATCATTGAAGTTCATTTGAAATAAAAGGATCCTGTTCCTAAATATTTTAGAAATCACTCTCACAGATTGTCTCAAATTTGAAACATTTCCTGAGGTTCTTAACCAGGGCCCATGGGTCTGTGGATTTGGGTGGGAAAAATTATACCTTCATGTTCACTGATCAATAGGGTGGGGCAAAAGTAGGTTTACATTGGGAGTACGAAAAACACAGTTTATTATTATATAATTATTAATTATTGTATTATTTTCCACATGAACAACTATAAGCCTACTTTTGCTCCACGCTGTATAACTGAAATTTGTCGTTTTTATTGGTGATGATTAGAGGCAAGTCACAGTTGCATGAGGAAAACTCAGAACAATGTCACTAGTAGGTATCACAGACATTTTCATATTGTGCTGCAGTCACTGAAGATGTTTTAAAAATGATTTGTATTTGCCATCATTTTGGAATTCTAGTCACTACTAGTTCCTCCAATAGAGCTTGCTTTTTGATGAATTAATAAAGAAGCACTTAAATTACCGTAGTACAGTGTTTTAAATATTTTAATAACTAGATTTCAGCGCTATTAGTGTTTTTGGTAGTTCAATGAATTTTCTTTTATGCATTAAAAATTATTCTGACAAGAGGCTCAGAGGCTTCATCAGACTGCTAAATAGGGCCACAGCACAAAAAAAGCAACCCAGTGTCTGCATGTCTTGGCTGCAGTAGCTAATGAGTTAGGATGAGAAGTGGAAAGAGCCCTAGACTTGACACCAGAAGACCTGGGTTTGAGTCCCAGCTTTGCCACTTGTCAGCAAAAGAGCAAGTTGTGAGCTCCTCTTGCTATGGAGATAAAAATAGTACTCCCTGGGGTAACTGGGAGGGTTAAATAGGTAAAATAGGCTCTTTCTAACTCTGGTCTCCCCCTCTCACTTCTTTTTTGTTTAGGAAAATTCATTTTTATTTAAGTATCTGTCTACCACTTACTACCTGTATTGATTGAGTCGTAACTTCACAGTTAGATGTTTTCTTCCTCTTTGTTTTTTTTTTTTTTACAAGAGAACAGATCCACTTTTTTAAAAATTTACTTTTAACATTTAAAAAATTTGTTATTTTTCAATTTCAGTTGACATTCCATATTATTCTGTATTGGTTTTAGATGTATGCATAGTGGTTAGATGATTATATACTTTACCGAGTGGTTCCCCCGACATGTCCAGTACCCACATGGTACCATACAAGGTTATTAGAATATTACTGACTATATTCCCTATGTTCTACTTTGCATCCCCATGACTATTTTTTTAAATTTTATTTTATTGTTTAAAGTATTACAAATAGTAGTACATATGTCTCATTTTTTCCCCCATTGACCTTCCCCTGGCCTCCCTTACCCCCCGGCACATGCCCTTACCCCACCCTCCCAGTGTCCATTGGTTATGCTCATATGCATGCATACAAGTCCTTCGGTTGATCTCTTACCACCCCCCCATCCCCCAAAACTCACCAGCCTTCCCGCTGTAGTTTGACAGTCTATTCGATGCTTCTCTGCCTCTGTAGATACAGAGACCCATGACTATTTTGTAAATACCAATTTGTACTTCTTAATCCCTTCACTTTTCCCACCCAGTCCCCAGCTCCCTTCCCCTCTGTCAGCCATCAGTCTGTTCTCTGTATCAATGAGTCTGTCACAAACATGCACACATTTTTCTTCTAAAATAAAACTCTGAAGATGCTACTTCACTCCTGCCTATAGGATTGCATTCAACGCTTCAGCATGGCATAAGGGGACCTAACCCACTTTACCTCTACTCCCCACCAACCCACGTCATTGCAACATCATCCGTTTCCTTGCTTTAGACCTTTGCCCATGCAGTTGCTTGTGCTTATGATGCCTGTTCATCTTTCCCATCCAGAACATGCCCACTCACATCGCCCCGCCTCCCTGCAGCTTTCCCTGGGCCTCCAGCAGAATCCCTCCTCTCCGTACTCCCAAGGACCTGCTCTGTTTCTCTCCTACAACACGTCACACATATTATACTAACTTGTGTTTTCCACGTTTGGGCCTCTCATTCTCTCTTATATTATGACCTTTTCCAGGCTTGGGGCAGGGAGTTGTATTGGGGAGGAAGCTTGAGCAGCTTGAAAAACCTTGTTGATATTATAATTGGTTGATTTGATGTTAACCATGATATTTCTTTTATTTTGAATCCCAGATGCCATTAAAAGAAGACTTGGGAATTTTATGTGAACCCAGAGATGGCACCTACAAAAGGTTAAGGAGCATTCATCTACTGGGGGGAATGAATTAAAAAAAAATCATCAAGGATGACAACACATGTGGTAAGTTCTGGGGAAGCACAGAGAAGGGGACTTAACCAGGGATGATCATCTTCCTTGAGAAATTGTGATTGAAGTTTTCCTCCTGGAATAAACTTCCAGTAAAGCCTTTACCTCTCTCCTTCCCCTTCCACGCCATAGAGTCCCCAAGGAAAGAATGAGCCTGCCAGGCCAGTACAAAAGCAAGGAGGGGCTAGAGTCTTCTCTCCTGCCCTGCTCTGGGTTTCACATTCTTGGCTTTAGGGGTGGTCTTCTGGCTAGAGAAGCCATTGGCAGGCAGTGGGGCTATTCCGTCCATCCACCCAGCCTTGGATTCTAAAATCCCCACGGCTGAGGGCAGAGTGTCCCTGGGTGGACCTGCTGGGGGCCCAGGCCAGCTGTGCTCCTGCGGAAAGGTGGAAAAAGGCACCCGCATCTGGTGAGCACCCATGCCAGGCCCTGTGCTGTGTATCTCACAGCACCTCAAACCTTGCAGCCCAAGTGGCAGTTAGATATCCTTTACATTTTACAGATAAAGGAACCAAGGCTCAGAAAGCTACATGACTTGCTCAAATTTCAGTGGTGATGCTGGGATTTGAACCCAGTCAATATGACTGCATGACCCATGTTCTTTCTACTCCAGCGAACTGTATTATAGCACGTGTACTAGCCCCACATGTTGTTCACCCTATGTTCTCACTGGTCAAGGTGACCTTGGTTTCCCACAGAAAAACTAGAAAAGTATGTCTATTCGTCTTTAGCCTTATGCTTTGTGTAATTAAGGACAATAGGAATGTATTTACAGCACATTAATATCCTCTCGGTTTATAACATACTGATCATTTTCTTTGACACAACATTTCCCCCGCCATCCCCAATTTATAAACAAAGAAGTTGAGGCACAAAGCGGGTTAGTGACTGGCCCAGGAGAAGCAGATCTGTTCAGTCCTAAAGATGGGCCTGACCTTTGTCTACATGGCATTTCTGGCCTGAAAGGCAGAAAACATATGCTCCAGGGAAAGATCTCACTAAATCGCGTGTCAGATCGCCCTCTTGCTAATTTAATCCCGTCCTTCCGAGTTAGATCCCTTTGGAAAACCACCAGCAGTCCTTTTTCTTTGGTGTTTTTATGTTAAAAACATTCCCTGTATGAATCCCCTCACTCCTTCACAAACAACCGACTCAGCAACATCCCCTGAAGTGTGTACTGCACGTCCCACCTGCACCCCATCCCTGCGTTGCTCTGGCTTCTCTTCCAGTTGGAATTCATTCAGAACCTCCCGTGATGGGAGGAAGCGGGGGAGGGGGAGAGAGGCAGTTATCTTTGTGAATCTGGGCGCCCTGGACCCTCTCTCCACGTGGTCATGTCCCAGTCAGGGTAAAGGGGGAGGTGATTTAAGTTTTGTAAATGCTGCCCTCAAAAAACCACACTGGACATAAATGTTTCATGGCTGGGCTCTGCGAGGCCAGGCTGGGCCGTTCAGCGGGGAGGGTGTTTATATTTGTGGAACTCTCTTGAACATTTGCTGCGGGTTTCAAACAGCTGCTGTGCTGAAGCTCTGGGGATAGGAGGATCATGAATATTCAGGTGAAGCCACCAGAATGAACAGCCGTTAATAGAATAAATGCCTAAACAGTTGTGTAAGGCTTATTAAGACCTATTGGGGCTGAGATAATAAATTCCCGCTCCGACATGTTGCAACTACTGTCGCTGAGACACTTTGGACCACCTCTTCCGAAATGAAGGGAAAAATGATGTTCGTTCTCTGCGCAAACACAAAGAAACACCTGGAAGCCTTGGCGAGGGGGTGAGATTTGGCAGAGATCTTCCCGTGCACCGGCACCGCCTCAGGAAAATGATGTGCGGTCCATTGTTCGTGTTGTCAAGGTTCTCTCCATCCACTGCGGGCTGGACCGGCATTGATCCTGTGTGGGCCAAATCCGTCCTGACTCCATCGGACAGCCTGGACGCCAGCTGAGAGCCGACACGAATGGTAGGGGTACTGAGCCCGGCCATCAGCACTCTCACCCCGAGTCCCAGGGTCAGTCCCTTTAGCATGGTATCGGAGGGACCAACATACACTAACATTGGGCTCTTTTCCGCTCTGTCCCATAACTCCATAGCAGGGAGGCGATGCAAAGCCTGCAAATGTAAAAGTGACCTTCCCAGGCGACAGCCCCGGGTGTGTTAAAAGGCCACAGCAGACCCGGTTGGAAATGCGCACGCTGAACACGTGGGCAATGGGGAGACGGCAGAGAGGAGCTGCTTTCTCCCTCGGATTGAGCTGCCACATCGTGTTAGGCCGGCTCACACTGCTCAGTTCTGGCACTCGAGCCACAAGGCATTAACTGAGGGGAAACGGAGGAACTCACTCAGGTTCGCACCTAGAGGCAGACTCCGTAATATTTGATCAGAAACCTGCTGTCAATTCAGATAAAGGGCATTTGACTTTGAATAAAGGCGACTAACCTAATGAAGGAAGTGTGTACACCTGAGGCCCCATTTGCTTCTGCAAACCTGTCAAGGGAGCTCACGTGCAACAGTCAGGTTGCCTTACTTTCCCCACCTCTGAAGACACTCTGGGGTCCTGGTAGAGACTCTGAGTCATCAGAATCTGGAAAACGCACAACAAGGTGTTACACATTTCCTAGTGTGGCCTGGTCGGTGTAGTAGATTTTAGGGTGATGCGGAGCTGAGGTTGAATCAAGGCCTGAGTGACGCCAGGCACGTTTCCCACTTTTCTGGGGTACAGTGGCCTCATCTGTGACACAGGCATTATTCTACCTACCACAAGCTTGTTCTGAAGATTAACTACATGGAAGCCACCTGGTAAGGGAATTGGCTCATGGTAGTTGCTCAATTAGTATTGTTCACTCATTCATTCAACAATTATGCATGAGTTGGTTTACTTCTCTTCCTCCCCATTCCTTCTATCAATGACTTGAACAAGGTTAGGTTTCAAAATTCCCTTGCAAAGTAGAGATTAGCTTCTTTGCAGTTTCAGATGTCTCCATTCTTTAACACACTGGATACATCAGCAATTTGCCTAAAAGCCAGGCAAATGAAGGGGGGTGGGGTGGGGGATGGAGAGATCTTATGTGCTCCTTTCCTTTAGTCTTCCATACTCTATCCTCCATCAATTATGGTTGACCTGATTGGTCAATATAAGAAACCAAATCTGTTTTGGGAACTTTTGTGTCATGGTCAAAGTTCTGAGGAAAACCAGATGGAATAAATTAATTAGCCAAAGCATGTTTAACTGGAAGGACATTTCTTTCCAAGAGTGGCCACAGGGTAGGGGGCACAAGCAAGGGATGGGAGGCAGAAGGGCCTCAGAAAGCCTGAGGGCTAGGACTGGGCATCGATCTGTATTTTGAATAAAGACAAATGAGTTTGTTCTCACAAACAAATAAGTTAGGAGGGGTCTAGGAGTCCTTGTTCTTCCAGAGATGGGTCTGAAAGTGACCCTGAAAGTCTGTCCAAATGGCAAAACTCTTTCAGAAGAAGGGGTAGGAAACCTTTACTTTTACTTGTTCTTAAGAGTTGAAGCAGGCATTTGTCTATAATGGTGCCCCCTGGCTGGGGTTTGGAAGGCTTGGTTAATGTCATTAGGACTATTTCTCTTTCTCTCTTTTCTCCCCCCCTCCCCCCCAGCACAAGCTAGTGGTCACTTCATCACCTCCCTACTTCCCCTTATGGCCCCCTCATAGTGATTATCACTCCCGGATTCTGATTGGAAGAGTTCCGCTCCAGGATGCAAATCTTTGGGAATACGGTTTTGTTACTTTTGTCACACAATAGGTGTGCACTCTGAGTGACCCCAGACAGAGCAGAGGATGTGGATTTGACACATTCACCATACCTGCCGTCCCGCCCCAGACCTCCTGGTCACATGAAGCTACTCTACCATTTCTCTTTTGCTCTGAACCTGAACAAACAGTAAACAACACATGCTTTTTATTCCAATTCTGGAAAAGAAGAGCTGTTTCTAGTGAAAGTCCATGCCAAGTGGAGTCCCTCCTTTTCAAGAGGTTTGGGGAACGAGTGATTTTATTTTCATCCAACAAACAGGAAAAGAAAATCCCCCTCCACAAAGTGAAGATGGCTTTATAGAAAATCAATGCAGGAAAAGACCTAAGAGATGATTGAGCCCAACCTGCTGGTGCAGGTGAAGAAACTCAGAGCTCAGCAATTCAATGACTGCCCCAATACTATGGAGGTCAGGAGAGAGCTGAGGCTGCTGCGGGAGGTAATACAGATAAAATGCATTTGCTGAGAACTTTGTTGTAGGTGCTCGCATTACCTCATACTCCCTCACAGCCCTCTCTTATTCAGGGGAGAAAGCATAGGCTTGGCGCAGTTGGGTGCCTCACCCAGCATCACACAGGTGTGGGACTCACACTTGGGTCACTTGGATTTCCAACCTGAGTGCATCCATCATCACTGTTCATCCTAGACCACTTCCCACTGCTCCCTGCTTGCAGGTAGAAGCTGTGAGTCCAGAAGACAACTGAGGGTTCTGTGCTCTCAAGCAGCAATATCTGGACCAAACTTCCTGTGTTCAGTTGCCCAGGCAGAGCCAGTGAGAGCAGGGGAAATAGGGATGCAGATCTCGTTTGCTGAACTTCAGCAAGTGAGCCTAAGCCACCAGCTTAATCTCTTGCAATCTTTGCTTCAAAAAAACTTATTTTGCAGTGTGGTTAGCAGTAATTTAAAATATGTTCCAGATGTGACCAGAGGCTGGTGAGCAGGTCTCTGGGCACGAGGGAGCTGGGCCATGTGTGTCCTAGCACCCAGGGCTGGCTCAGGAAGTGGGTCTATCAGCTGAAAAGGTAACAAGCTTCCTTTAGCCTCTGGCCAGAGGAAACAGAGGGTGGAAGGGGGAGGGCAGCAGCTGGCTTGAGCTGGGTGGCTGGGGTGGAGAGGACCACTCTCATAGGGAACACAGCTCACAGTTTCTCTTTCCGTGCAGTGTGGTAGGGGATGCGTGATTTTTTGGGGTCAGATAGACTTGGGTCTG